ACCACACAGCTCTCTACAATGTGATGGTAAAGTGCCTAAGCATTGTTACATGATACACAAAGGCTAAATATTTTTAAAGACATTTTGTTGCTTCCCTTAAGAACTCAACATTTGCTTTCTGCAACAGAAGACTGTAAATACTTACATCTCTGGTGTGTGACAAGTCAAAGCTCCACTGCTATAGCCACTGCCAAAGTTTCAGCATAGTCAGAACAGAACATTGGACCACCACACCAAAAAATATGAAATCAAGATAAAAAATGTTTATTCCACATATGTGATACACTTGATATCCAACATGTTTCGAAGATCGCAATCTTCCCCCTTCATCAGGGCTTAAGGGAACAGATTTTAAAAACTCTGACTGTACATAAAATTGTATCTTATAAAGTATTTGTTCCCTTCAACAGCTGGTCTCATTTTATCTGGATTTTAACTTTTCAGTCTTGGGCTCCAAGCTTTGGTTCCAACTATAGCATTTACATCCTAAGATTTCCTTGGAATTTCCTCCATGTATGGAAGCAGCCCACATACTACAATTGTATATTAACAGTATAGTTCCAAACAAATCAATTGCTTGTACTATCAACTGTAGGATCCAGCACCATCCAATCCATTGCCTAAAGCCAATAGGCAGTGTCATTTGACACTGCTGTGAGGACTGAAAACTTGCATCTGGTAACACCATTGTCACCAAGACAGTTAATGAAGGGGAATATTTCTAACAGAATAACAGTGAAAACCCAATATGGGTTCTGATCCTTCACCACTCTATCCACAATATGTAAAAAAGAAAAACAAGTTTGGACCTGCATATACACTTTCATACACTTGCTATTCTGTCGACAGAATACAGCAAACCCAATAGGGAGATGCAGAATTCACATTTGATAGCATGGTTTTGTAACCTCCATCCTTCAATAAAAAGAAAGAAAATTAACAGAAATAAAAAATGTATACCTATGAAAGTTGGCTTTAAAAATGTTTGTAATTTTTGGACTAGCCATTATAAATACATTCCTGATGGGGGTGAGTCCAAACTGCAGCCTCTGCCAAAGTCTTTAACATTTGACTCTTCTATGAGCATTGATAGCCTGCAATGGTTAAAGATTGTGATAGGAAGTATTTCTAAAAGAGCAGCAGTAAAAACCTCTACTGTGCCCTTTGGCTTCTCCCACCATCCTTGCGTTGCTCCTAAATCCTGAAGTAGGGGTTAGAGAAAGGAACCACAGCAGGTGACATAGGCATTTTACACTCCAGGAAGTGTTGAGTGGTAAAGGCTTTGCCAAAGGCTGCACTGCTGGAAAGCAGAGGAATTTCGACACACTGCCCATGAATCAGGTCAGTGTCACTGTCTTTTATTGTTGGGAGCCAGTGTTAATACTTTTATGAGAAGTGACAGAGCCAGTTTGAAATGTTATGAATACAATGTTCCTACAATTCCATCAACCTTAGCAGATTAATGGTAATATGGTGAAAGTCCTGTACAAGAAATAAATAAAACAAAAATCAACTTCTAGCAGTTTGCTTCCACTTTTCACTGTTTCAGAAGCTGACCTTTCTGTGCCTTCCGCTCACACTGCTTAATTAAGAAGTTGAATTAGTTTCAGCTAAGCTCAAAGTACAATAATTAGGACAGGAGGGAATATAGGTGTGCAAATGTCAATACACTATATATATTAATATATGTGTTAATTTGTATGTGGGTATTTTTCTCCAAACGTGTATTTTCATAATGTAGGGCTTATTTTTTTTTTGTGTATATGATAAACAATGCAGTGGTCATAAATAAGATATTTACATACACTCTTTGGTTTATTAATAAAAGGACTAGCTGTGACTAGTCAACAATGAAGATACAATACCTCTACTAAAGCTGAGAAGGTCAGTATGGAGTGAGTGAGTAAATACATAGAAAGATTTTAAAAAATACATAAAAAACACAAGACCTTTTAGAACAATATAAACATCAACAACTGTGAAAGAAAGCATGTTACACTTTTATCTAAGATGCTTTCTTTCATAACTAAGCTTTCAGCCTATTCAACCTAGATATTGTCAGCAGGTGAAGCTGCTGTAAAGTTTGCAGGAACATAAGCCTTTAAAAGTTTTTATAAGTGACTCTTCCAGTAGCTTTATATTCAGTAAATAGAATAGACTAGGTAGGCACTACATTTACACAAAACAAATAACAAGTATAGGTGCAATATGTGAGGGATTAATATTGCCAAGAATCTCTGTATATAGTGCCTCAAATTTGGTGCATACCCCCCCAGCGCATGGATCAAACCTCATATTTCTAGACAGATACCAGCCAATTTTACCAATTAATTAGATATAAATGTGAAATGGTGAAAATGTCCATAGATAAAGTGACAATCCTTGCAGCTTCTTACATCTGTCCCAAACCACAGCAGAGATAAGCTTGTGACTAGAGATGAGCGAATCGAACCAGACGACAAGTGGAATTCGTTTCGAATTTCAGGAAAAATTCGATTCGTGCCGAATCCGAATTAGCCAACTTCGGGTGCACGAATCGGATTTTTCCCCGATCAGCCGGCAAAAGTGTCCCTGCAGAGAGCTCCGCTATTTCTGACAGTTCTGACAGTTTCTGACAGTTCCTTCACATGTACAGCGGTTGAAACATTGTATCTATTTGTTTCCATTTAGATACAGATGTTTTTATTCGGAAACAGATACAATGTTTCAACCCTGTAAATGTGAAGGAACTGTCAGAGAACTGTCAGAAATAGATACACTTTTTGCTGTACTGGAATACTTCTTCTTTTCATTCTTCTTTTCATTCTTCTCATTTCTTCTCTTCATTCATTCCCTTCTTTCATTCTTCATCTCATTCTTCTTTTCATTCTTCTTCTTCTTCTTTTCATTCTTCTTTTCATTCTTCTCATTCTTCTTGTCATTCTTCTTTTCATTCTTCTAACTCCTTCTTCTTTTCATTATTCTTCTTCTTCTTTCATTCTTCTTTTCATCTTCTTCTTCTTCTTTATTTTCATTCTTCTTTTTCATTCTTCTTCTTCTTCTTTTCATTCTTCTCATTCTTCTTTTCATTCTTCTTCTTCTTTTCATTCTTCTTCTTCTATTCATTCTTCTTCTTCTTCTTTTCATTCTTCTTTCATTCTTCATTTATTCTTCTTTTCATTCTTCCATTTTTCATTCTTCTTTTCATTCTTCTTCTTCTTCTTCTTCTTTTCATTCTTCTCATTCTTCTTTTCATTCTTCTTCCTTCTTTTCATTCTTCTTCTTCTTTTCATTCTCTTCTTTTCATTCTTCTTCTTCATTCTTTCTTCTCATTCTTCTTTCATTCTTCTTCTTCTTCTTTTCATTCTTCTTCTTCTTTTCATTCTTCTTTTCATTCTTCTTCATCTTTTCATTCTTCTCATTCTTCTTTTCATTCTTCTTTCCATTCTTTCTTCTTTTCCATTCTTCTTCTTCTTCTTTTCATTCTTCTTCTTCTTTTCATTCTTCTTTTCATTCTTTCTTCTTCTTTTCATTCTTCTTCTTCTTCTTTTCATTCTTCTTTTCATCTTCTCATTCTTCTTTTCATTCTTCTCATTCTTCTTCTCATTCTTCTTTTCATTCTTCTTCTCATTCTTCTTTTCATTCTTCTCATTCTTCTTTTCATTCTTCTTTTCATTCTCTCATTCTTCTTTTCATTCTTCTTTCATTCTTCTTCTTCTTTTCATTCTTCTTTTCATTCTCTTCTTCTTCTTCTTTTCATTCTTCTCATTCTTCTTTTCATTCTTCTTCTTCTTCTTCTTTTCATTCTTCTTCTTCTTCTTTTCATTCTTCTTTTCATTCTTCTTCTTCTTTTCATTCTTCTTCTTTCTTCTTTTCATTCTTCTTCTTTTCATTCTTCTTTTCATTCTTCTTCTTTCTTCTTTTCATTCTTCTTCTCTTCTTCTTTTCATTCTTCTCATTCTTCTTTTCATTCTTCTTCTTCTTCTTTTCATTCTTCTTCTTCTTTTCATTCTTCTTCTTCTTCTTTTCATTCTTCTTCTTCTTCTTTTTATTCTTTCTTTTCATTCTTCTTCTTCTTCTTTTCATTCTTCTCATCTTCTTTTCATTCTTCTTCTTCTTCTTTTCATTCTTCTCATTCTTCTTTTCATTCTGCTTCTTCTTCTTTTCATTCTTCTTCTTCTTCTTTTCAATTCTTCTTTTCATTCTTCTTCTTCTTCTTCTTCTTTTCATTCTTCTTCTTCTTCTTTTCATTCTTCTTCTTCTTCTTTTTCATTCTTCTTCTTTTCATTCTTCTCATTCTTCGTTTCATTCTTCTTCTTCTTCTTTTCATTCTTCTTCTTCTTTTCATTCTTCTTTTCATTCTTCTTCTTCTTCTTTTCATTCTCCTTCTTCTTCTTTTCATTCTTCTTTTCATTCTTCTTCTTCTTTCTTCTTCTTCTTTTCATTCTTCTCATTCTTCTTTTCATTCTTCTTCTTCTTCTTTTCATTCTTCTTCTTCTTCTTTCATTCTTCTTCTTCTTTTCATTCTTCTTCTTCTTCTGTTCATTCTTCTTTTCATTCATTCTCATTCTTCTTTTTCATTCTTCTCATTCTTCTTCTCATTCTTCTTTTCATTCTTCTTCTCATTCTTCTTTTCATTCTTCTTCTTCTTTTCATTCTTCTCATCTTCTTTTCATTCTTCTTTTCACTTCTTCTACTTCTTTATCATTCTTCTTCTTCTTTTCATTCTTCTTTTTCATTCTTCTTCTTTTCATTCTTCTCATTCTTCTTTTTATTCTTCTCATTCTTCTTTTCATTCTTCTTCATCTTCTTTTCATTCTTTCTTCTTCTTCTTTTCATTCTTCTTTTCATTCTTCTTCTTCTTCTTTTCATTCTTCTTCTTCTTCTTTTCATTCTTCTTTTCATTCTTCTTCTTCTTCTTTTCTTCTTCTTCTTCTTCTTCTGGCAACTCCACCACGCAGCTCATTTTTGTTCCAGTATTACTGTATTTTGCTCCTTCAAAAATCCTGAAACTTTCTTTTGCAGTGTACAGACTCAGGTACTCAGTGCAGGAATGGTGGGAATCCCTCACAATGGACACAGCAGGTGTACATACAGACCCAGGAATTCAACACAGGGACAGTGGGAAACCCTAATAATGGGTAAAGCAGGTGGGCAGACCCTCGAATCTCAGCACATGGATGGTAGGAACCCCTCATAATGGGCACAGCAGGTGTGCATACCCAGAACCTCAGCACAGGGATGGTGGGAACCCCTAGTAATGGCGCAGCAGGTGTGCAGACCTGGGACCTCAGCACAGGGATGGTAGAAGAAACCCCTCCAGGTGTACAGACCCAGGAATTTAGCACAGGGATGGTGGGAACTCCTCCTAATGGGCAGAGCAGGTGTACAGACCCAGGAACTCAGCACAGGGGATGGTGGGAATTTCTCATAATGGGCGCAGCAGGTGTGCAGACCTGGAACCTCAGCACAGGGATTTGGGGAACCCTCATAATGGGCACAGCAGGTGTGCATACCCAGAACTCAGCACAGGGATGGTGGGAACCCCTAGTAATGGGGCGCAGCAGGTTGTGCAGACCTGGGACCTCAGCACAGGGATGGTAGAAAACCCCTCATAATGGGAAACAGCAGGTGTACAGACCCAGGAATTTAGCACATGGATGGTGGGAACTCCTCCTAATGGGCAGAGCAGGTGTGCAGACCCAGGACTCTCAGCACAGGGATGGTGGGAACCCCTAGTAATGGGCGCAGGAGGTGTGCAGACCTGGGACCTCAGCACAGGGATGGTAGAAACCCTCATAATGGAACAGCAGGTGTACAGACCCAGAATTTAGCACAGGATGGTGGGAACTCCTCCTAATGGGCAGAGCAGGTGTACAGACCCAGGAACTCAGCACAGGGATGGTGGAAAACTTCTCATAATGGGCGCAGCAGTGTGCAGACCTGGAACCTCAGCACAGGGATGGTGGGAACCCCTCATAATGGGCACAAGCAGGTGTGCATACCCAGAACCTCAGCACAGGGATGGTGGGAATCCCTAGTAATGGGCGCAGCAGGTGTGCAGACCTGGGACCTCAGCACAGGGATGGTAGAAACCCCCTCATAATGGGAACAGCAGGTGTGCAGACCCAGGGATTTAGCACAGGGATGGTGGGAACTCCTCCTAATGGGCAGAGCAGGTGTACAGACCCAGGAACTCAGCACAGGTGATGGTGGGAACTTCTCATAATGGGCGCAGCAGGTGTGCAGACCTGGAACCTCAGCACAGGGATGGTGGGAACCCCTCATAATGGGCACAGCAGGTGTTAGGGGGTTTAACTCTCCAGCATCCATTAGAGACTGATATAGTAATATAGTTCATTCTTCTTTTCATTCTTCTTTTCATTCTTCTTCTTCTTTTCATTCTTCTTTTCATTCTTCTTCTTTTCATTCTTCTTTTCATTCTTCTTCCTCTTCTTTTCATTCTTCTTCTTCTTCTTTTCATTCTTCTTTTCATTCTTCTTCTTCTTTTCATTCTTCTTCTTCTTCTTTTCATTCTTCTTTTTCATTCTTCTCATTCTTCTTTTCATTCTTCTCTTTCTTCTTCTCATTCTTCTTTTTCATTCTTCTTCTCATTCTTCTTTTCATTCTTCTTCTTCTTTTCATTCTTCTTTTCATTCTTCTCATTCTTCTTTTCATTCTTCTTTTCATTCTTCTTCTTCTTTTTCATTCTTCTTTTCATTCTTCTTCTTCTTCTTTTCATTCTTCTCATTCTTCTTTTCATTCTTCTTTTCATTCTTCTTCTTTTCATTCTTCTTCTTCTTCTTTTCATTCTTCTTTTCATTCTTCTTCTTTTCATTCTTCTTCTTCTTCTTTTCATTCTTCTTCTTCTTCGTCGTGCCCCGTGACTGCCCAAATGAGTGAAGTGTGCGGTGATTCTAAGATCGACGGCACTCATCTGCATGTCATACTGACTGACAGTATTATTTCTCTTCCCCAGCAGACTCCAAGGGCATTTAAATTAAAGGTACAGTGTTCTGCACTAATATAAAGCTCTCTGAAGCCTAGAAACCCTTTTAATAAGTTAAATTCGCAGCGAATAAATTCGCATCGAATCAAATTTCTCCCGTAAATTCGGCAAATCAGCCGAATCGAATTTTTGAATAATTCGCACTCATCTCTAGTTGTGACTATAATCTTCACCATGTGCTCACAGAAGTATAGTGTGGATTGCTCACTCACCAGATCCTTTGACTCCAGTTACGGTGGCCAAATACGCCTTTGGTCTTATGGAGGACCTTGGTGTTACCATTACTCCCCTTCAGCAATTCATTAGTGATGGCCAAGTGTAAGGGATCACAATTTGCCTATAATATGATGCTTTATAGATATTCCTCCCACGGGAATGCAGCCGACCATTAAATGAATCAAACAAGTAAATTGCTCCTTTCCGTCACGTCCAGGAAAGTCCAAGCAGAGTGAGAATGAGGCTTGGAGTGCATGGTGGCCATTTTTAGAATTTTACAAGCTGGAAACACTGGTGCCAGTCTATAGGCACCTTTACATGTGAGCGCAATATAGTATTTTTATGTAACCATTGTTTCTTAATGAAAATACTACACTTAGAGAGCAATTTACTTGTTTGATTCATTCGGCTACATTCCCGTGGGAGGAATATCTATAAAGCATCATATTGGAGGCAAATTGTGATCCCTTATACTTGGCCATCATTAATGAATTGCTGAAGGGGAGTAATGGAGATAACACAGAGAAAGTATGGTCCCTTATAAAACCAAAGGCGTAATTGACCACCGTAACTGGGGTCAAAGCATCTGGTTAGTGAGCAAACCACACTACACTTTTGTAAACACATGGTGAAGATAACAGTCACAACCTTATCTCTGCTGTGGTTTGGGACAGATGTAAGAAGCTGCAAGGATTGTAACTTTATCTATGGACTTTTTCACCATTTCACATTTATATGTAATTAATTGATAAGATTGGCTAGTATCTGTCTAGAAATATCAGGTTTGGTCCATGCAATGGGGGGTATGCACCAAATTTGAGGCATTATATACAGGGATTCTTGGCAATATTAATCCCTCACTTATTACACCTATACTTGTTATTTTTTTTTTTTGTGTAAATGTAGTGCCTACCTATTTTATTCTATTCTATTATATGCTATAGTGAAATATTCACTATATTAGGGGCAGCTTCACACTAATTACAATCACATTAGCATTATTTGGTGCCTAAATAATCACTTCTTTATTCATCTGTTATATTCAGTAAAGCTGGCCATAGATGATGTGACAATTGCATGATTCCCCTATCAAAACAGTCAGTCAGTGTTGATGGGCGAATCCCTCCTGCTGAGCTATTGTGTTCTCCTATGGGGGCATTGGAGAATTATCCCTCCGGGAGAACACAGTGATTATTGCTAGCGGCTATAGCCACTGACAGTAATCACATGAAAAAGCAGGTTGGGTACAGTAGGTTGTACCCAAGCTGCACAATTGATTTGGGTACAATCAGCTTGCCCATAGATGGGTCAAATCTCAGCCGGTCTCTGCTGAACCGTCCAAGATTCTAACCATTAATGGCAGACTTAAATCTGGATTTGAGTAAAGACATTAACCCTTTTGTGACCAGAGGTCTTTGATGCATACATAGTTGAGCAGGCCAAAATTTCCAGTGTCTGTATTCAAGTAAAAAAAGTATTATTATTATTTACTGTAGTAATACTGTACTTGTATTTGACAATTACAGTTTTAAAGAGATGAACATTGCCAACTTCGAGTTGAAGTGGCATTAACAGTGCCGTCTGTGGGCTGAAGACTCCTTTTGTCAATGATTCCTCCAGCCAGCATGCAGGTACTGTCATAACTAACATGACTGGGACATGATTGACATCGCATGATTGGAAACTGCTCTGGTCATCAGAGATGGCAGGAGCTGTCAGTAATAGCTGGGATTGAGAGCCACCAGCTGTGCATAGTGCCACCTGGTGGCTATCAAAGAGAGTACATTTATTAATGTATTGTTAATATACAGATTGGGTGGATAAAGATTTTAGAATCTGAAGGCAGCCAAATCATGCTAGGGCTTGTAAAAATTGGAAAAGGGCCAGAAACGTTTGGGTTTTATTGTTCTCTTTGTCCTTACTGGGCAGACTTCCTCTAACTTCCTGTCCCACTGACCCTCTAACACATAATGTGAATGCAGGCAGCAATAAAAACCTGACACAGGTGCAAATACTTATTTGTTTAAATTGCTATTTATGTCTTTGTTGGAGTGAGTTCACCTCCTGTCCTAGTGACAGATTGACATGAATTAAGAAAAAAATCTTCTTAATACTGTATTTTCTATTAGTATGAAAATAATGGAAGCATCATTAACAAATGTGATAATCTACCCATATGAGCAATACCCTGGAAGCTGAAGTTAAGTAAAACAAAAGTCCAATGGGCTTGAATACAACTCTTGAATACCAAAAATATTTAGAACAGAGATATTCCAGATGTCTGTCAAACCTGCATTATTTTTCAGCATGTGTTAAAGATATTAGTAGATCAGTGACAAGTATAAAAAGCATCACGAACCAAAAATCAGAGAACAAAGTCTTATTTAAGAATAGTCTAAGACGAGCAGGTCTTTTTTGCTGACTTAATGAGTTTTTATTATGGGAAGTTACCTATGTGCAGAGCTACCTCAATATGTTTTATAAACTATCACTTGAGATTATATAATGATCACTGTGACTCTTACAAACCTGTATATTAATAAAAGTCACATGGGCTTTAAAATACTAGAAAATAACCAACCCACTTTTCGGGTTCAGATGAATATGACATTCAGTGTGATTTTAATGGGTCTTTTTTTAGCGTGCAGTTCACTATGTACTTCCATTTTCAGTCTTGACAAAGGTCATTCACTTGACACATTTTCAATTAATTTGTGTAATATTGGGTCTTGCCAACAGGTCAGAGGAATCTTAGTAAGGCTTCAAAATTCATTTTAAATGTGTCCTGTACTAGATGTGGGTAAGCTGTATTTTAAAGACTCTTCCAAGCTAGATCTTTATTTCCTTGTAGACCTATCAAGTGTAACAAAGATCAGGAAATGAAGTTCCACGTGTAAACAAAACAAGCCAACACGGAAATTGCTTTTACCTGCTTTAAATCCTGAGCTGACTGAGGGAAACCTGACCTGGTAAACAGCATCTCTACTCAGAGTAATCCCAGTGTTCACCACTAATTAATTTACACAAACTAACATCCAAAAAAATGACAAACTGGAACACTCACAGCTTTAAATGGACTTTTATCAGCATGTAAAGAACAACTAGACTTTGAAAGGAATTTCCTACCTTGGCTACTTTATCTGGAAAGCCATGCCTTATCAAAATGTTTAGTAAAGAAGAATTATTGCTTTTTTATATTAATCAGTTCCAGATTGGACATGTAATACTTTGTTCCATCTTCCCTTGGTGCATGGCTACTCAACACCCCAGCTAGCAAGGAGATGGCTGCTTTAAAAGCAAGCACCTGTCTCCAGTTCCCATCACTTGCCAAAACAAGTCAGCCTTGACTCCCGCTGTAGTTTGCCCTATCAAAAATTGAATATAAAAAAAAGTTATCAATAATCTGTATTGAGTGGACCAAGCCAAATTAGTTTTTTTGTTTCAGTAAAGCTTTATTGAAAAAGAGTAAAAGAACAATAAGACAAACATAAAGACATAGTTACTGTATGTGGTTCA